GTCGTCGGGTGGGCCATGGTTCATCGCGCACCCTTACCGCTCTTCCTCCAACGCAGTAGGTCCACGGCCATCACCTGTATGGAGCGTCAGGCATTATTGTTAACAAATCATTGTCAAGCGCCAGCACCAATGCGACGCGGATTCCTGCTTCTTAGCTTCGCTGCGATTGGCGATAGTGCCACTGTTTGTACGAACGTGAGTGTCCTCGGCGATGCTATGTATTGCATCAATGGACGCGTCTGCGGCGGCAAGACCGCTGACGGTGCGTGCCCACAGGCAGGCGCCAAAGCCTCCGCCAACTGCGTGCCAGGACTTGTGAGCTGGAACGCTACGACGCGGTCTTGTGTGCTCCACTCGCTTGCGATCTGCACGGTTGTCAGCACGCAGCCCTCGTTTGGCTGCGTCGCGTACCCTCTGGCCATGAGCGCAACGCCAGCAGTCGCTAAGCAGCCGTCAACAAGACATTCGTAGCCGCAGATACAAAGCGCTCGGCGCCAGAATCGAATCAAGGCCCACGATAACGTTGCTTCAAAGTCAAGTCCTTGGATACACTCTGCATTAAGAATTGCAGTACATCAACTCCTCTTGACGACCAGCGTCTGTCCCCTTCAAGGTGTCGCGACAGCCGCGGAGCGGCCGCTCGTATCTGTGTTTCATCAGTTGCGGAAGGTGAGGTCCGTTTGCACTAGCTTTTGCACTCGGCACCCATTCCGACTAGAGGGCGACATGGTGGGATCCCTTGAAAACGCAGACTCAATGTATGGTCATGGACACGCTTGTAGTGCCTTCTACGTTTATGAATGCGCTTCTCAGTGTGCCTCCAAGAACTAGAGAAGTGCTAATTGTATTCGCATCGCTGGCAGTCTTGCATCAACGGTGATGATGCACGAGCCGAGCGTGAACCCATCTCGCCGTGATCAACGTCATGTTGCACTTTCTGGGCGCTCGCATCTGATTGGCGCCAGATGTTGTATTTTAGCCAATCAGACCATGGGTAAGACCTCGCCACCAGCTCGCGCGCGATAATTCCGATCCAGCGTAGAAAAACCCAATTCCGATCTTGGGCAAGGACCCGTGGCGTTTGCTCATTGCCCAATATCCCAACTACCGAAACACCACCAACGCCATCTCCAAATGGTCGTGCCGACGCCCGTGACGCCCGCCTTTGCCGCTGCATTTTTCGACGAGCTCGCGCAGCTGCGCCGCCACTTTCACCAGCATGCCGAAGTGACGTGGCAAGAGGTCGCGACGCAGGCCACGATCAAAGACTACCTGCTCACCCACGCGCAAATTCCCGCTGAAAACATCCACGTGTGCGCGACCACCGGTGCGTCCAGCATCACTACCGACAGCGCATCATCCTCTCGTCTCTATAGGGCTCGTTGTCAACATATTTGGTCCGACGTCCGAGGACGCCGCCGACGGCAGCCTCCGCTGCGTGGCCTTTCGAGGGGACATGGACGCGCTGCCGATGACTGAGCAGAACCCGCACCTGCCATACGCATCGGAGAACGCCGGCGCCGCGCACATGTGCGGTCACGACGGTCATATGGCGTCGCTCGTGGGCTTTGCGATCTTCATGCAGCGCGCGCGCCTCTCGCTGCCGCCCAACACGTGCGTGCGTCTCCTCTTCCAGCCGGCCGAAGAAGGCGGCTTTGGTACGTCGTCCTTCTTTTGAATTGAAGTCGATGCATGCATTAGGCGCTGTCAAGATGATTGAAGACGGGTGCTTGGACGGCGTCGACGAGGTGTACGGGTACCACAACGGCCCGTTTCCCCTTGGCATGGTAGCGACCAAGCCAGGCGCGCTCCTTGCGCATTCGTGCCGGTTTGAGATCACGCTCCGAGGGCCCGGCGGCCACGGGTCGGCGCCCCACCACACGACCGACCCGATCGTTGCCGCGGGGCACATTATTGTCGCGATGCAGTCGATTGTGAGCCGGAGCCTCCCGGCGCAAGAGAATGCGATCGTGTCGATCACCCAAGTCCACGGCGGCGAGGCCGACAACGTCATTCCGTCCAGCGTGCGCCTCTCGGGCACGCTCCGCGACTTCAACCCCGACGTCGCAGCGACCGTGCACGCGCGCATGAGCAGCATCGTGACGCACGTCGCGGCGGCACACGGTGTCACGGGCGAGATTGCCTTTGACGATGGGTACCCCGTCACGATGAACCATGCGGCGCAGACTGACATCGTGATCAATGTGGCGTCGGACATTGTACAACTTGTCATTTGCGAGACGGACACACTGACGTAGGCGCACGTAGGTTGGCGCGGCGCGCGTGACGGCGACGGGGCTCCCGGTCTCGGGCTCGGAGGATTTTGCCTACTACTTGCAGAAAACTCCCGGCGCTTTTTACTTTGTCGGCACCAAGCCGCTGTCCGACGGTGACGGCGCGCAAAACCGCAACTGCCACAGCGACACGTTTGACTTTAACGACGACGCGCTTCCGCTCACAGTTCGCCTCTTCCTCGAGATTGCGCAGCACCGTTTCCACTGCACGCTCTTTGCCAAGGAGGAGCTGGACGCGATCTACACGGCCCCGGCCTCCTTGTGAGGTACCGTAGCGTTGACACGTAACAACAACGCATTGGTGAAT